GCAAAAACACAAGCACCTTATCCCCGGGAGAAAATTCTCTAACACGGGCCTTTCTATCATACCAGCGTTTCATGCTGGATTGGGTGTTTTGTAAGTTATTTTTGGCCAGAACACAAGCATCATAAAGTCTAGTTTTAAACTTACTTACATAGTCTAAAAGTCCTTCAGTGGCTGTTGGTGACAACAAAGTCTCTTTTATACATTTCAAGGGACCGCGCACCGAATGGCCAAAGACTAAGTCAAAAGGGCTGAATCCCAACGATTCCTGGACGGATTCACGGGTTGCAAACAGCAGCATGTGGATTCCTTCGTCCCAGTCTTTTTCGTGCTCAAAGCAATAGGTTCGGATCATGTTCTTGAGAGTCTGATGGAATCGCTCAAGAGCGCCTTGCGACTCGGCATGATACGCACTCGACATGCAGTGTTTGATGCCTAACTGAGTCATGACTTGCTTGAAAAGATTGGCCGTGAAATTCGTTCCTTGGTCCGATTGGATAGACTTTGGTAGACCAAATAGAGTAAAGAACTTGATTAAGGCCTTCACAATGTTTGATGCTTTTATGTTCCTTAGAGGAATAGCCTCAGGAAAACGAGTTGAAGCACACATAATGGTCAACAGGTATTGGTTGCCAGCTTTTGTCCTTGGAAGAGGACCAACACAGTCAATAAGTACTCTGCTGAAAGGTTCTTCAAAGGCTGGAATCGGCTTCAGAGGAGCAACAGGGATCTTTTGATTTGGCTTGCCAACCATCTGACAGGCATGACAGGATCGGCAGTACTGGATGACATCTTTCTTCAAACGTGGCCAGAAGAAGTGTGACATAATCTTGTGGTATGTCTTGTGGATGCCGAGATGACCTGACATTGGTGTGTCATGAGCCAGATTCATGATGTACGCTCGGTATCTTTCTGGTAACACGATTTGATGGCATATTCTCCATTCTTCTTCGTTGGATGCGTCTGGAGGTTTCCATTTCCTGAAGAGCATATCATCTTGGATGTAGTAGCACGTTGATGCTAGCTCTGCCTCTTGTGATGTCATTGCGGTTTCTCGGAGTTTGGCGAGCTCTGGATCCTTCTTTTGGTCCTCAATCAACTGTTTTCGAGTTGATGCCGGCTTTTCAGAATTTGGCGTTGGTTCTTCTTCAAGAGAAGCAAAGAATGTGGTGCTCAAGTCCACATCATCTTGGTTACTGTTGGCCTTGACGACGTTCTCTTCTTGAGATGCTTTCAACCTCATTGCCCTTGTTACTGCACACGCTGGATATAACTCTAGGTCTTCCTCGGGTGTGGCAGATAAGTCGGGTGTTTGAGTGACGATGGGTTCGGCTATCACCTTTCCACCTGCTAAGTCATTGCCTAACAGCAACGAGATGCCTTCCAATGGTAATGTTGGTCGGACACCTACAACAACCGGTCCAGTAATGAGATTTGACTTTATGTCGATTAGATGTAGAGGCACATCTATACATCCAAGCTCTACGCCTCGTAACAGGATGCTCTTCCCAGTCGATGATGATTTAGACAAGGGCAAGATACCCTCTAAAAGTAACGATTGTGAAGCACCTGTGTCTCTCAAAATGGTGATAGGTCGTAGACTTGTAGAATCACCGGGTAGTGATACAAATCCTTCCGAAATGAAAGGCTTAAAATCCTCTAATAAAACATCAATTTTGGTTGATGCAGACTGGACTTGGGTCGAACTCTCGCTGGAGTCATTGACATCTCTAGGAGACGCAGTGGAGAAACTCTTTCTTGAGTCAGTAGAACATCTTGTGGATGTATTTGGAGAACTCTTGATGGAGTCATTGGAACATCGGGGTGATGTCTTATGGGAACTCTTGATAGAGTCATGGGAACATCGGGATGATGTATTATGGGAACTCTGGATAGAGTCATTGAAACATCGGGGTGATGTCTTATGGGAACTCTTGATAGAGTCATGGGAACATCGGGATGATGTATTGTGGGAACTCTGGATAGAGTCATGGGAACATCGGCTTGATGTATTTGAAAAACTCTTGTTTGAGTCATTGGAACATCGGCTTGATGTATTTGAAAAACTCTTGTTTGAGTCATTGGAACATCGGCTTGATGTATTTGAAAAACTCTTGGTTGAGTCATTGGAACATCGGCTTGATGTATTTGAAAAACTCTTGGTTGAGTCATTGGAACATCGTAAAGATGAATTTGAAGAACTCACTATTGAGTCATTTGAACACCGTGGAGACATTTTCGGAGAGTCTTGTACAGTCAATACATTTGAAACAGGTGGTGTCGAGGTATTCTTGATATGACTTGAGGATGAGGGAGTAAACCTCGACGACCACTGTACTGTGCAAGCGCTGACTTTTGAAGGAGCGTTTTCGTTTCTCTTTCTCAATTTCCAACAATCGTCAATTTTATGGCCTTCTCGTTTGCAGTAGGAACAAGTAGCTTTACTTGTAGTAGGTTTTCTGTCGTTTGTACTGCTGTTCTTGATGGAGTTGCTAGCAGTGGACTCAGGCTGTTTGACTTGTTTTGGCTTGACATCCGTCGTATACTTGGCAAATTGATGTGATATTATATAATCGTCTGCCAACACTGCAGCCTTGTGCACATCTTCCTCGCCACGATCAGCTATATGCGTACGGACGTCCAGCCGCACACAACTCTTGAACTCTTCCATCAGCATTAGGTTCTTGAATTTTGCAAAGTCGGTGCCGATTTCCCTGGAAGTGAGCCATTTCTCAAAGCGTCGCTCCTTTTCCCGCAGGAATTCTACATGGGTTTGGCCATCCGATTTGCGACAATCCCTGAACTGCTTTCGGTAAGCTTCCGGAACAAGTTCATATGCCTTAAGAATTAAGGCCTTAACAACATTATAATCTTTTTGTTGTTCAATGGTCAAAGAACAAAATACCTCTGCAGCTCTACCAGTCAAAACTGTTAGCAGCAAAGTGGGCCACAAAGTTTCAGGTACATTAAAATTTTTCACACAAAGTTCAAATTGTGGAAAATAATTGTCAATTGTGGCTTCATTAAAGCGTGGAATTATTTTCAAAAATTTTGTTGCTTCAGCAGTATGACTGGCAGGGGAAGAATCTGGTCTTACATTAGCAGCTAACTCTAATTTTTTTAACTCTATTTGTAATTTCATTTCCATTTCTTTCTGAGCCGCTGCAAGCTCTAATTCTTTTTGTTTAATTTCTCTCTGCTCTCTAGCCGTCTGGGCTTCTATTTCCATTTGTTTTAATTTTATCTGAAGTTCTAAATCTGATTTACCCTCATCGGGTCTAAGGGTTTCTAAAAGGTCTTCAGAAAACACTTCCTCGTCTACATAATGGATTACAATGTTATCTCTGATTTCTTGTTTAAGGGCATTTGATTTTATTTTTAACCCTAAATGTTTAGAAATAAGGACCAGTTCCTTCCTAGTAAAAGCATCAAGCTCTTCCACAGAGGGATTTGCAAGAAAAACCTGAATATCCATGACTAACTAACAACTATTACAAGCAAAAATATGTATACAATGTAAATATACAGTACAAAATCAGTACAACAAAAAACCTTAAGAGAGTTTGGTCAATACTATTGATACTTTACTTCCGACTCTTTGACACAAAAAAAATTTTTGTTAAAGTCAACTTCGCCTTTACAAAATTACTCAAGTAAGACGAAAATAGGTTCAGAAAAATATCCGGGACGAAAGCCCTCAAACTTCTTTTGTCACGTATTACGAATTGAATTCTAATTTTTGAAATGGCTTGCCTAGGGGAACGTGACAATAGAAAAGCAGTTGTGTCACTTATCTTAAGTCTGAATTTAATCAAAGACTTACAATGAATAACAAAAAAAAAAAAATGACACAAGAAATCGGAAGGTAAACTATCAACTTAATGTTTAATCAAATATAAAATTACAAGAAAGAAAAATAAACATTTACTCAATACAGAATTGATGTGTTGACCAAAACCCTTTTACAAAAATGGCATGTAAAAATATTACAATACAAGAGTTTGAAAATATAATTACAAATACAAGCAAGCAAGGCCTTGGAAAAAAGAAAACAAAATATTAACTTACACGATCAAGTGGTATACCACGCACGGGTCGCGCAATGTCTCCGCTATTCTGTCTCACGGGCTGTCTCCGTATGTCTGTCCGTCAACGTCACGCGGGCGGTCTTTTATAATCTACCGCGCGTCGATATCTCGTAACTTCTAGAATAGAAAGTCATCAACACCCAGATCTAGAACGCTCTTCAAAGAGACAGAAAAAAAAACACCCTCCTTTCAACCAGAGGTACACACACAGGTCAAGGACCGGTCACTGTCTGTGTGGCTTGACGAATAAAAAAAAAGAAAAAAAAAACTTATTACACAAGGGGCAGACAACCTACTCGTCTCTCGACCGCAACAGGTCAAAGAAAGAAAAAAAAAAAAAAAAAAAAACAACGCCTAGATACGTAACACTTATATAATACAGACGTTACTTTAAAAAAGAAGATGATTACGTCCTACGCGTCATGCATTTAGTCGGCCAAGTCACTTGGTTTTCCTGGCTAGCTCAGGCAACCCATTCCATGCTCTAATAGCACTAAGGAAGAAGGATTAGAAGTATTCACTAGTATCGCTATTAGATGATGCCATGAATACTTAACTTGAATGTACCGATATTTTGGAGAATGTGCTAAAAACCAATTATATTATCATGTATTGGTCTTTATTTCGATGAAGTCTTCAAAAAGGCGGTAAGAAGTTTACATATACTATCATCTGCAGTGGGAAGATTCTCTTCTGTTTACTTACGAACTAAAAAACATTTGTCATAAACACATGTCATAAACACATGCCATAAACGCATTTCACAAAAACATGTTAAATCAATTTCGCTAACACATGTAACAGACAAATGACACAAACACATATCACGCAGCGACAAGGAAAAAAAATTGAGTATCCAATGCTCTGCATTGAAGGTCAAACATTTCGTCAAACTGGATTGAAGGTCAAGTGTCAAGCACTGATGTCCACACACAGTTCTTGGTGTGATCAGGAACAAGAATTGCGTTTGGACAATCATAGCCAGATTACTTGGACTGCCGGACCTTGTGGTAACTTTGATCGTTCAAATCTTTGGAGCGGACATCCAAGACATTCAAATGGTCAGAGCGGTCATTTTCCAACATCTCTCTCTCTGAGTTTATGCCGTCTGAAGAGTTGAAACGGACACGCTCTTCTCTGGTGTACACCTATGCAGTACTACTACGCTAAACGTGTGATTTAGACTCAGTGGCGTAGCAACCATGGTAAAAAGGCGTTCACTGCACCCGTATGGGCCATTACTATGGTTTTTTAATTTTTAAAAATGCCATTATGACATTTACTTCAGTCCTTACTAAATTGATTCTAATGACGCTAGTACTTTTACTTTAATAGGCGGTACATACAATTATAGTGACTTTTTTTTTAAAGCAGCCAACGAAAAAAGAAAAGCCGCTATTAGTTTTATGCGTCTGTCTGTACGTCCGTCTGTCACGTTTAGATCACAAAAACTAGAAGAAATATTGAAAAATACGATGTCATGATATTTTAAATCTTGCAAAGTTCTAATGCAACGAATTTTTTTTTTCTGAAAGCGAACCGTTTCATTTATTTCTTCAAATTAAATATGTCGTCATTTTTTTTTCATAAAATACACCACTTTCTAAATATTTTTTTTTCTGGGGAGTTAGGCCTAAGTATTTATAATAGGCCACCTAGTATAAAGGCTCGAGTTCGAATCCAGACTTTTTTTTTCTTCAAATTGCTTTCTCCCAGATAACCTCTCCCAACTGGTCCACACACACACACATACACAAATTGGACCATAGCGCACTGAGCATGCTATAAGCCAAAAAGTTGTGCTATTCACAAGCAAGTGAAAAAAAAAAAGAAATTTCCAAACGTATCAGATCTAGTAATCGCAGAGGCAAGGAGCTTTGAAGGTCCAAACATTTATTACAAAATGGTTCGTGCAGTTGTGTTCCACCCGTGTACACAGGGGGCGGGGGGGGGGGGGGGGGGCTAATCCCTGAGAAGTGTACAGAAAAATAAGTTTTTTTTCCTTCTAAGATACCCGTCAGATGAAAAGTTCTATTACCTTTATATCATTTGTCTGTCGTTTAATCACGTGTAGAACGAAAAAAAAAACCCACCGAAAACTAGAAAAGCTTTTGATGGGTTGATTTCTCCTTTTGTAATAACACCAACTCTCTATGCAATCATGTAAATACATGTTTTTGTTTCGTCCAATCCAGTTTTTGAATTTCTTCGGGAGGGGCACGATCATATTCTCTGCAACGTCACTGCCTAGAGGCTTCAACTTGTTTTTTAGGTTGCCCAGATATAGCATATAGAATTTATATTTAAAACAAATCAACATCGTCCAGATGTTTTAACGAATAATGTAAGTTTGGCTGTGTGATTATAATTATTGAAAGGATTAATACTTGAAACTCTATCTTATTCAATTTAAAAGTATTCAAGTAGTGATCTAAGGGGAATTCAATTCTTCTTGGATTTATTGATAGATATGTTCTAACCTGTACACAGACTCTTTAATTGGACAATCTTGGTGAAGCAGGTAGACCTATGCATTACAAACCCATTGGACTTAACTATAGGATTTAATAGGTGGAAAAACCAGTTGACTTTGTCGTATCAAAATTAATTCAATCTCTGGTCCCATCTTAGGCCTGTCTAAGAAACAACCAATCAAATAAAGTTAGGTCACGCGCTGTTATCGCGAGATCTTTGTCATTAAGGCTGAGCGCAGGGAATACTATTTATGTCAGACAAAATGCCTCCAGAAGTTATTGTTTCTTCATAAAATTGAGGGATCAGTATGTTAAGCCATCATCTGTCTGTCTGTTTGCTTGTGTGTAACTCTGCCTAACTTTGTCTCTATGCATATACATTTGAACAGGTGTGTCCAATTTCTGTTTGATTGTCCGCCTATGTCTTTGTTTGAGTGCCTGTGTTAATGTTAGTTTGTGTGCCTGCGATAATTATAGTTTGTGACACTGTCACTGTCATTCTCTGTCAGGCTTTAACCGTGTTTCAAGAACTGAGATGTGACAAATGGAATAAACAGCTGGCCACCTAAATATGGAAGGGGGGGGGGTTCGAGTTTGAATCCCAATCAAGCTATCCCCCAGATAATCCATATGTGCACACAAGAGATTGGGCCACGACGCACTGAGCACTATGGGAGGTTGGAAGACGAACTGTACTAAAGCAGCAATAACAATAATTATAATAACTAGTAAACATTATAACACAGAGTTGCTATCATAGGCATTAGTACAGAAGCATTATAAAAGACAGCTCAAGACATCGACATAATATTATATATGACACGGTTACATTATGTGCAGAAGTTACAAAGAGCCGGATGATTACAGGCCGGAAAAAGCCCGCGTACCGTAGGCTGAGTATCCCTTGAATGTACAATAAATGACATAAAATAGATATGTAGTTTTGTTGTAACTAGAACTAGAACTAGATATGACAGAAATTATGATGATCTTGAAATATATCCGTTAAACCAAACCTGTTTGGAAAGCCAACACACATTTTGAATTCAACAATGTGTTTACACATGTTTCAATAGTTTAAGGAAAAACAACAACAACAACAATAGTATGTCCGTAAGTTAACAGTGAGTTAAGTTGGCAACAATCGACTTACCACTGGACCAGCTTTACACGCGACCTGCTGGGACGTCAAGCTTCAGAGAACAGCATGACCGAAACGACAGTTGGTAGCAGACGACTAACAAAAGAGCAATTCGTTCACGTCTGATGTGTCCCAACATAAGTGGGAGCGTAAATGCTATCTAGAAAACGTAAGCTCAAATGTTATCATAATGAAACAAGGTTACAAAGACAGTATGGAAACACAAACTCAAAATCGACCCCGGAAGTGGTCCACCCAGGAAGGTTAAAAAGGCAGGTTTCAATATTTTCAGAAAGAATATCAGAATGAAATGTTATCAAAGGCAAATGACAGAAAAGAATGGAGAAAGAATGTTGACAGATCATGTGTGGTGCCCTAACGGTCCAGCAGACAAAGGGATAGGTGAAAGTGAATGTGCAGTTAGATGTGAACCTGGCCTAACTGATGTGTTATAATGATTATCTAATTGATGTAATTGTTTTGTAAAGGGTCAATCCGTTTATTAAAGCGTCAAGGAAAAAAATTTCTGTAAAAAATTTTTTTTTTAAAATCCTTAAGTTAGGTGTTCCATGGGTATAATACAGCTCTGTAGTTCCCGCGATAATATGAAAAAAACTACGTATTATCTGTTGTTTTAAATTATGTTCCACTTATATGCATTATAATAGATTGTTTCTCTTTAAAAAAAAAGTAAACATTTTTTTTTTGTAAATGTCTACTTAATACGACAGAACTTACTTAACTTAACAATACTATTTTTTTATATTTTTTTTTTACAAAATCTAAAACCCTTTGAATAAATGTGTTTAGGTGTGATGCACTATCCGCCGTGTTGCTATAGAGACTCCCGTGTTTGTTACTATTACTAGTGAATAGTTGTAAAAATGGTATATTATTATGAAAAAACTGCTTGCTTACTTGATTTTAAAAATTAGATTTTTCGCTTTCAGAAAAAAAAGTAGCCGTTGTATCAGAACTTTGAATGGTCTAAAATATTATGATGTCGGATTTTAACTATCTTTTCTAGTTTACGGGACGGACGACAGACAGACCACACTAATAGCGTCTTTTGCCCCTTTCGGGGACCGCTTAAAAAAAAGCACTTGAGGTGTTGTCTAACAGTTGACTATGGTGATTTGTAGCCACGACGACCCTTTGCTGTATTCTCTCGTCATGCATCCCGTTGACACTGACTGTACTTCGTTTACGAACACACCAAAGGAATTCAAATGGCCAATTGTTCCCGTAATTTTGACTCGATAGCCTATGTTCTGTCATGTTCTCCGCTCATGTGTTAGAAATAATATATAAACATTTAGGGCCTACTGCTTCATTTCCATTGGCCTAATGGAGAGTGTTTTCAACAGACACAAACCACGAAACCTGAAGGAAGATTTACGACAGACAGAAACTTTTTGAAGAAACTGAGGAATAGTTTGAAGTTGTGTTGTTCCAATGTAAGTATTTTGTTGACCTAAATTTATGCTGCTCAATTAGACATTTAGTTAGGCAGTTGAAATTGTGTTGGCCTATTTGAATGTTTGTTGACCTAATTAAATTTCAGTTGATCTAATAGAAATTTTGTTTTACTGATTACAATTTTGTTGACCGAATAGAAACTTTTTTGGCTGAATGGCCATCTTATTGACAAATTGTTACTTTTGACATGACTGGAACTATTATATAGTCATTGTATAGTCATTATATAGTCATTATATAGTTATATAGTCATTTGACTTGAGTCAAAGTTTGTTGGCCTGAAAAATGTTGTCCTAAATTTTAGTTTACTAGATTTATTCAGAGCCTTATTGACTGAAGATTTGTTGGAATGATGAATGTCTTCTTGTCTCCACTAATGCTTCCAGTGCCATCATTTGGGGGCCCGGGGGGGATTGACCTCTTTGGGGGCCCCTGCATTTTGCGTAATATTTAATGTAAAAAACACTGATTTGGGGGCCCCTTCAAGTGGCGGCCCGGGGGAATTTTCAAATTCTCCCTCCCTCCCCCACCCTAGCTACGCTTCTGAATGCTTTAAAAGCGAAGTGGTATTGAAGTTAATGAAATAATTGAAAATGAATTATTTCTTTAATACTTACTGCATATCAAACTAAGTATTTATTTTATTTCCCCTATCTTTTTTCTAAGCTGACGTCACACCAGGTAAGACAGAAACAAATTTGCTCGACATTCCCAATGTTCTCCTCTTGTAACAACCACACCATCGTGTGTGTTTGTGTGAGTGTATGTGTGTGGAGCTTAATGAATTCAAAATGAACTCCGTCCAAGTTTAGCAAATCAATTTTTAATGGCCTGAGACAAAGGGGAGTAATCCATAGCCCTAGGCGACGATTGCTGTTCATGCATATTG